TGCTTCCCACCGACAAAGCACTTCACCATTTGGATCTTACTCCTCAGGACAGCCACGAGAGAGCAGTCTGGTTAAGACTCGCCCCTGTGCTGCCTGAGAAGAAGGCCTGCGGTGAGGTCTTCCGATTCTAAGCCATGTGGTCCTTTCATTCTTTCACTCCGGTCCTCTTCGCTGCCAACGCTCAGTTGATTGGAATGTTTTCTTACCTGTTTTCTACTTCCTCAGTGGATAATAGCTATTAATGGCTATTATTTGAGGACTTACTCGTGTCAGGCACTCATCTGAGCACTACATAGGAATGATTTAAGCTTAGCAAACACAGGAGCAAACTTCACAGCCCCACTATACAGATGCAGAAGCCAAGATTCAGAGAGCAAGTTCTTTGCCCAAAGTTACACCAGTCATTGATGTCAATCTAGGGCTTCCTGACTCTAGTGTACGCTCTCTTAGCCATTGGTACACTGCTCTGAGTCAGGACTGACTGTCCGTCTCTTTGGTATGCTCTTTCTAAGAATTCAAGCAAAGTTTTGCTCTGGAAATCCAATACCTTTTTTATATATAGTGATTAATTATAGCATGGAGATAGGGCATAAAGCAAGGAGTAGTGATAATATCTGATTATGAGTTATACAGCTTCTGATTCATTGTATAACTTCAGGTAAAGTCTCTTTCTCTGTCCAATATTCTCAGCCATAAGGGATAAAAAGAAGAGAAAGAACATGAATATTGAGGTGAAGTTGAGGGAGAAATATTTGAGTCCCAGAGAATATAAGACATTTCTTTGTACAAAAAGAAATTTAAAATATCATTAATGCTTTGGTGATTATTACTGCTTTGTAATGAATTAAATCCAGACCTGGTAATCCATTACCAGGGTCATCTTGCTAAATGAATAGTTGGAAAATGCCTGCATGTGCCTTGGGTTTTCTGTACATGAACTGTACTGTCCACCACTTTTTCTTATATTTTTTCCATTGATTCTTTGAAAGAGTAGAAGGAAAGGAGAATGGGGAAGTGGAGGAGAGAGAAAAAGAGAGAGAGAGAGAGAGAGAGAGAGAGAGAGAGAGAGAGAGAGAGAGAGAGAGAGAAGAGGAGAGGAGAGGAGAGGAGAGGAGAGGAGAGGAGAGGAGAGGAGAGGAGAGGAGAGGAGAGAAGAGAAGAGAAGAGAAGAGAAGAGAAGAGAAGAGAAGAGAAGAGAAGAGAAGAGAAGAGAAGGGAAGAGAGAAGAGAAGTGGAGAGGAGAGGAGAGGAGAGGAGAGGAGAGGAGAGGAGAGGAGAAGAGAAGAGAAGAGAAGAGAAGAGAAGAGAAGAGAAGAGAAGAGAAGAGAAGAGAAGAGAAGAGAAGAGAAGAGAAGAGAAGAGAAGGGAAGAGAGAAGAGAAGAGGAGAGGAGAGGAGAGGAGAGGAGAGGAGAGGAGAGGAGAGGAGAGGAGAGGAGAGGAGAGGAGAGGAGAGGAGAGGAGAGGAGAGGAGAAGAGAAGAGAAGAGAAGAGAAGAGAAGAGAAGAGAAGAGAAGAGAAGAGAAGAGAAGAGAAGAGAAGAGAAGAGAAGAGAAGAGAAGAGATAAGAGAAGGGAAGAAAGAGGAGGGGAGGGGAGGGGAGGGGAGGGGAGGGGAGGGGAGGGGAGGGGAGGGGAGGGGAGGGGAGGGGAGGGGAGGGGAGAGACATATTGATTCGTGGTCTCCCATGTGCTTCTGACTGGGCTGGGGGCAAACCTTCAACCCAGGTAGATGCCCTTGACTGAGAATCAAACCCATGACCCTTTGGTGTGTGGGCTGATACTCTAACCACTGAGAAACACCATCCATGACTTTCCTGATGGTCTTTTCAATGAGACAACACTTCTGAATCTGCCCATGAGAGAACCGACTACACATAGAGTTCTCTCATGCACTGAGGAAGAGGCAAGCTTAGTAATGTGAAGCAGGAGGCTAGAGAGCCCAACAATGATGTCATTCTGGCTTGCTCAGGACTGACCGTTTTCAGCTGTGGCACTGAGAGCTATTATTATACAAGCACAAGAGTTGATGGCTGTTGATCCTATCTGCCTGCACTTCTCCACATCGTGGTGCTTTGTCTGACAGGAACTGGGCAAGTCTAACCCTGTCTTCCCTTGACTCGCTGAGTGAGTGGACTGTTTGTGGGTGTTAGAGCTCAGTGTTTTTGGAACTCCCTGGTCATTAGTTTCTTGTGGGGTGTGTGGGATGCAGAGAGGAGACTGCAGGGAATCGTAGAGAGAAGAGGGTTTGGAGACAGCTCAGTCCCAGAGAGAAAGGGAGAGGGATAGTCAGAAACATCAATGAAAGAGAAACATGGATCAGCTGCCTCCTGCACATACCTTACAGGGGATATGTCTGCAAACCACGGTACGTGACCTTGACCAGAATCGAACCTGGGACCTTTCAGTCCTCAGGCAGACGCTCTATCCACTGAGCCAAACCAGTTAGGGCTCAGTCCCACAGTTCTATACTTGCAGTCAAGCTTAGCTGACTTCTAGGAAGCCAGCAGAATGGGAGCATTTTAATCCGACAAACCCTACAGCTGATTGGGCAGAATTGCTTATTGATGAGCAGCTATAGCTGTCATTTGCTTTTTCAGAACAGAGACTTTTAAGATTCCCTGAGCAGAGGATGCCTTTTTGTTGACATGGGAAGTATTTTTCCAGATGAACTTTAAAATCAATGACTTGTGAACATCAGTGTATATTAGATCCATCAGAGATGCATGGAAAAGCATCCCACCCCATTCTCAGGGGTTCTGATTCAGTAGGTCTGGGGTGGGAGTCAGGAATCTGCATTTTTAAACAAGCATCCAATGGCAGTTCAGGTAGCCGCTGGACCACACTCCCCAAAGACTGTCTTAGATTTTGTTCCAGTTTCCATTTGCTCACCCTTTGAAATAGCCTCTTTCTGCTACAGTCTGTCTTTCTTTCTTTAAAAAAATCTTTATTGTTGAAAGTATTACATAGGTCGTCCCCCCGCCCCCCCCCCACCACCACCACTCCATTAACCTCTTCTAGCTGTTCTTGTCCCCACAGGCCCTCACCACCCCATTGTCTATGTTCACAGGTTATGCATATAGGCATACAAGTTCATTAGTTGATCTCTTTCCACCCACCCTCCCCTGCCTTCCCTCTGAGCTGCTACCATTTTTTAATCACTTTCTTTATTGAAGGATTTATTAGCATCTCCATGTTTACTACCTGTTTCAGTGTCACACCATCACTGCAACCAGAGAGGGAACCAGAGGTGATTACCTCCATTTTACTGGGGGTAAGGGGTGGGAGGTGAAATTGAGACATAGAGAAAGGTAGGTCACAATGAGTCAGACACAGTGGTGGGAACTAAAGTCCAGAATTGATGACTCTCAAACCAGGCAATTTTCTGGGGCCTATTTTCTCAGCTTGTGATTTCATGTTTAATCATAGTTACTCCTTAGGTGTCCAATTAATTGTGCTTGGGTAAGCAAAGCATATTTGAGTTTTAAACAAAATAGTTTAGTGCCAGTGTGCTAATTTTTGCTCGGCACATGGAAGCTTGCCAAAGCTTGATGATGACATGTGTGGAGCTGGCTTAATGTGCTCCTTCCTGCCCTGGCTTCCTTTATCATTTCTGAAGACGTTTTACATAAAATACAAGGAACACATTTCTCTTCCCCAAACCAATTAGAACCCTCTCAGATCTCACTACTAAAGCACTAAATCAAAAAGCTTCTCAGTCCTGTTTCTCAAACGTGAATAGTGTTTGGATCCATTTCTAAAGACAAAAATAAAAAATAAAATCTTGCAAGCTCTGTCAACTTAAATTATTTTTATTACAATGTTACTTACATTTTCAAATAAAAAGTAGAAATACTGTACAATGGCTGAGACCGGTTTGGCTCAATGGATAGAGCGTCGGCTTGGGGACTGAAGGGTCCCGGGTTCGATTCCGGTCAAGGGCATGTACCTTGGTTGCGGGCACATCCCCGGTGGGGGGTGTGCAAGAGGCAGCTGATCAATGACTCTCTCTTATCGATGTTTCTAGCTCTCTATCTCTCTCCCTTCCTCTCTGTACAAAATCATTAAAATATATTTAAAAAAAAGAAATACTGTACAATGTTTTTATTTATAGTTCTTATTCAACTAAAACATAAAAATAGATTTACAAGTGAAGTACAAATAAAACCACAAAACTAACACTATCTTCGTTTGCATTCAAAGTGCCACCAAGCGACCTCTATTTTCTCATTTTTCTGTTAGCACTCCTGGGACAGTGCAGTCCCATGATGTCATTTGGCATTCCTTTTGCTCATATGAAAATGCTACTTTCCTTTTAAATATTCCACTGTTATTTTCTTCTTATCCCAGAACAATAAAAGCAGGACTGAAACACACAGAGTAAATGTAAGTATTGAAATCATGTGGCAACACCAGGTTATACAGCCATCATTCAAGTAATGCAGAATATGCTATGCGCATCCAAAAAAAAAAAAAAGTCAAAATGAAAACTCTAGAATATACATCCACAGACTTAATTTTAGAAATACTGTTCAAGTCCATTGGTTTCCAGACTTCCACTACTATCAGACTTCCTATCTGTTGTGTTTACTTCCAGGACCCCCACATTTGAAAAAAAAAAAAAAAGTATCCTAAATTGCATTTATTCATAATTTTACATTTTTATAATCAGACACACAGATTTCCCACTTTAGAGACAGTGATCACCATATGTAGTTATCACTCCGAGTTGCTGACAGTCCAAAACAAACAGAAGAGACCGGACATTCTAGTGACTCCGTGCTGTCCTCACAAGGGTAAATAAAACTTTCCATCAAGTTTTGTAAGAAAGAATCCCATGCCCTCACCTCCGCCCACTGCTGCCTTTGCTCCTGGAGTTCAGGGAAGCTAGTTGAGCCTTTCTCGTACAAGCTGAGTAGCCACTCCATCCAATTTGGAAGGAGTCAAGCTTGCCCTACTTTTGCTTGATTGTTGTACTTCCGAGCATGTTAAAGACCTAAAAAATGGTAGGAAGAAAATATAACAGAAGGCACCGTTCCAGTCTCAAACTGAAAAGAAACACAAAAACAAGAGAGCAGCATGTTTTTAACAGCTTGCCTGCAGAAAGCGGAAAAAATACTGCCTGGGAGTTGGGACAGCACTGTTCTTTTTCTCTCACCGCCCTCGTTATTTGTCTTTCAGAACGGGAGCCAGACTTGCAATTCTGGAAGGAAGGGGCGGAGGGGTTCTGTGGAAGCCCTGAGTCTGGTGGGGAAAGGCGGGTAGGAGGCTCAGGGGCGCAGGGCCAGGAGGAAGTCAGGGGAGGCGCTAAATCTTTTCCTTCCCGGCCTTGGGCACCCTCTTTGGTCCTCAGAGGTCACCCAGCGCAGGTCAGCCAGGTAGTTTCCGACCGCTTCGGACCACCGCGAGCAGGATGCATCATCCCTGCCCCTGCTGCCTTCGGCCAGAGAAAGGATGCGGGAGCTTCTTTCGCTTTCCCAGCCTCTTTTTCTTCATGAGTTCAAACCTACAGTTCCCGCATGGGGGGCCAGGCGGAGACCGCCACCAACCCTGCAGAGCCTCAGCTCCTCCGCCCCCGCGGAGCCCGAACACAGGTCACAGCCCTGGCAGCTGCAGCGCGGGGCGGGGCCTGGGCGCGGGGCGGGGCCTGGGCGCGGGGCGGGGCCTGGGCGCGGGGCGGGGCCTGGGCGCGGGGCGGGGCCTGGGCGCGGGGCGGGGCCTGGGCGCGGGGCGGGGCCTGGGCGCGGGGCGGGGCCTGGGCGCGGGGCGGGCGGTGGTGAGCAGGCTGAGGAGAAAGAACATGGCGGGTGCGGCTGGGCCCGGGACCGGCTCGGGGGCAGCGGGCGGAGATGGAGACGACTCGCTGTACCCGATCGCGGTTTTAATCGATGAGCTCCGTAACGAGGACGTGCAGGTATTGGAGCTGGGCCCGGGAGAGGAGGCGGGCTCGGCCGGGCGCGCGGGTAGGGAAGGGGAAAGGAAGGCCGGCGGTGAAGGGGGGGCGGCCCGGGATTCAAAGAGCTGGACTCAAGCAGAAACTTGAGGGGGAGGAAGGGGAAGACCCTGAGGACCTTCCCCCGACCCCCGGGGGCCGCCCCGGCACCCCTCCTCCGGACCCCCTGAGGCGTAGGCCCGCGTCCCGCCGGGCGGTTGTGGGAGAACCGGCTTTCCGCCGGGGCGCCCCTTCCGGGCCGTGCGGAGGGCGCGCCGCGCGCCGCGGGCCGGGGTCTGGAGGCGGAGCGGGCGGGGCGGGGCGCCGGGCGGCAGGGCCCCGGGGAGGCTGCGGGGTGCCCAGGGCCCTTTGAGGTGCGGTGGTCGGCGCCTTCCTCCGAGCCGGGGAACTGGCCCGGCTTGTTGGGTAGGACGCGGGCGGCATGGCCACGGCCCGGCAGAGCCGGCGTGGCAGCCCTGGTGGAACGCTCCTTGGAGAGGCCGCGTTGCCTGCTTCCCCACTGTCCGAGCCCTCTCTCTATTTAAAAAACAAACATTTTTATTGATTTCGGAGAGGAAAGGAGAGGGAGGAGAGAGAGACAAACATCAATGATGTGAGAATCACCCACCGGCTGCCTCCTGCACGCCCCCCATTGGGAACTGAGCCCGCAACCCCTGCATGTACCCTTAACCATGTGCCCTTAACCAGAATCGAACCCGAGACCCTTTACAACGCAGGCCTCCGCTCTGTCCACTGAGCCAGACGAGCCAGGGCCCGAGCTCTCTTTTTAATTTTATCTCACGCCCTGGGTATCGCGTCCTCTTTCATTCATTTCTCCTGAGAAATCTTCCTTTGGCTAATGAAGCCATGTCGCACTGCTCCTGAGCTTCCTCAGAATAAAATCTAAATGGAAGGCTTTCCTCCTCCTTACCGCTATGCCGTTATCTCACCAGTTTGCAACTTTAGCCTTTTGCTTCTTTAGTTTGTTTTCTTTTCACTTTGTTTTTTAAAGCTCCGCCTCAACAGCATTAAGAAGTTATCGACCATTGCCCTGGCGCTTGGAGTAGAAAGGACGCGAACCGAGCTGCTGCCTTTCCTCACAGGTCTGTGAATTTTTGCTTAAAGAAAGGCACAGGCATTACCATTTTCCAGTTGCTTTCAAAACTGGGTGTTTTAGAATTTGTTAGTCTTGGTATTGAGCACTAAGTTGAGCCTGACACTTCTGTGCAAAAGAAACAGGATGGCTGCACATACTCAGGCATTAACTGTGTACCTAATAGGAGAGTAATTGATATGGGATTATGAGTTTCTAATTAATTCTGTAGAACAGATCCAGGAAGACTCTCGATGGAGAAGGAAGAAACCACCGTTAGGCCAGTGACAGGACCATCTATTTACATATTGAGTCTATTCTGAGTTTTGTTTGCGGGTTCAGTTCTGGGCTGGCTGGCGTTGGTGATGACTACCGGGTTGTTGTCATTTTCAGACACAATTTATGATGAAGATGAGGTGCTGTTAGCTCTTGCTGAGCAGCTGGGAAATTTCACTGGCCTGGTGGGAGGACCTGACTTTGCCCACTGCTTGCTGGTGAGTATATTCTGCCTACCCTCCTTTTAGGACTTTGCAGTATAAATGCTTCATTGTTTGGTGATGGGCACACTGTAGCATTTTTTATGCAGATCTGATGGTTAGTCCCCAATGTTAGCTGTGGAGAGAACAAATATTGTAGGTACTTTGGATTCAATGGACCCAACCCTTTCTTAATTTTCTGACTATGCATATAGGAACTTCTTCCTCTTTTCTCGTCTGCCTCTGTAGACTTAATTTGTTAGTTTAGAATTTGGGAGAAGGATTGTTTGTTTCTACTTAGGTTCCTCACTCCCTCAACCCCCATTCCCGAAGTTGGAAATCTTAATTCTCATCTAGTAATACCATGGGTTTGGAAGCATTTATATACCTATATTAGCTTTCTGTCTTTGATTATAAGCATAACTTTTACTTCTGACTTTCTTTGTGAATTTGAAGAGTTCAGTTTAATTTAGTTGGCAGTTACTAAGAGCCTACTATATCAGCACTGAAGTCATAGTGTTGATGTTAAAGAAGACCTGTGTGAATGGAATGAGGTCTCTGTCCTTATGTATCAACAAATAATTAGTGTACAGTGTTAGATGGAAACTAGAAGCCTATAGAAGGTACCCAAGTAATGGAGAATAGGAAGATATTATTAATCCAGAGTGATAAGGGAAAAACTCTTAGTAGGTGATGTCTGAAGTTGATTTTGAAGGATGTTAGGAATTCCACAGTTGGACAAGATAGGGATATATGCTTAAAAGCTGAAATGCTGTCTCTATGATGCTGACTCTTGTGATTTCTGTTTCTACCTCCAACCTTTCCATGGAATTCCATGTGTATACATATAAATATATGTATATATGTAGACACATGTATAGATAAATATATGGGTGTGTGTGTGTGTATATATATTTGTCTCCATATCTACCTGTGATTTTTCTACTTGGATATCAAACAGGCATTTCAAATTTAACATGCCTAAGACGGAACTGGGTTTTCTCTCCAAAGTATCTTTCATGTAGTTGTCCCATCTCAGTAAATGGCATCACCATCTATCCAGTTGCACAAGCCAGTCCTAAAAGACATTCTTGATTCTTCTTTCCCTCATTTTCCAAATTTAATTCATTAGTAACTCTTGTAGATTCTCTATATATTTCAAATCATTATACTTTTTTCTATTCCCACTACTACCTAGCTCATTTTTCCTCTAGTCTTTTCAGATCACATGATTTTTCCTCTAGATTATTTCCTAACTAGTTGCCATCTATTCTTGCCTCCCACCCACCCTTACTTGTCTTTCTTCATCCCGCAGATGGATCACTCACTGCTATGGCTCTTACACTATCCATAGTCCTGTCATAGCTTTACCTCAGCTTACAAATCCTTGCCTTAAGACTGTTGCCATGGGTGTTCTTTCTAATATAATGTTCTTTTGAGCTTCCTGTGACAGGCGCCCTGTCATTCAGATACCAACTTCAGTATGTTACCCTGTTTCCCCCAAAATAAGACAAAATTATATTAATTTTTAATATAACAAAATAATAAAAAATTAATTTTTGCTCCCAAAGATGTGCTAGGTCTTATTTTCAGGGGATGTCTTATTTTTCCATGAAGAAGAATACGGTTATTGAATTTGTTGTTAAATGAAAATAAAGGAAATTTATTACCTGTATGTGGTACGGTAGTACGGTAGTTGTCAACACAAATCAGACAAACTGTGAATCCTACAGTATCAAGAATTTACTCATTTATTCAATGATAATCATGTCATCATCTTCTGGAACATCATCATAACAATCCAATTCCTGAATTTCCTGGTGAATTTCTTGTGACTCCATTTCTTTCAGAAACAATGGACCAAATCTCTCATGTTTAGCCTAGGGGGGGGCCTTATATTTCACTCAGAAGGAAACCTGTAAGTAGGTGTTATTTTCGGAGGATGTCTTATTTTCGGGGAAGCACAGTACTAACAGAGTCCTTTCCTGACCACCTAACCTGAACTGCCTCCCAGTCTTCTCTTACCATCCTATTTTCCAAAGTATTCATTATTTTCTTGATTAGTTGTTGTCTTCCTCCATTAGAATTTAAACTCTACTTGAGCAAGGAACCTGTCTTCCTATTTCTTCTCTATCCTCAATGCTATAATCCTATGTAATAAAGGGCTAATATGCAAATCATCCAAATAGTGGAACCAGTGGTTGCTGTGATGCACACTGACCACCAGGGGGCAGACACTGAATGCAGGAGCTGCCCCCTGGTGGTCAGTGCATTCCCACAGTGAGGAGTACTGCTCAGCCAGAAGCTGGGCTCACCGCTGGAGAGTACAGTGTCGGTGGGGTGGGAGCCTCTCCTGCCTCCTTGGCAGCAGTAAGGATGCCTGACTGCCAGCTTCTAGCGGGCCATCAGTTGGAAATCCCCTGAGGGCTTCTGGATTGCGAGAGGGCACAGGCCGGGCTGAGAGACTACCTCCTACCCCCCTCCAGTGCATGAATTTTGTGCACCAGGCCTCTAGTATAATAATCCTTTATTGAAAGATCTTGGCATTTCTAGTCATTGAAAGAAAAACACCACATGACCTCACTCATTTGTGGATAATAAAGAACATTATAAACTGATGAACCAAAAGATAGATATAGAGACAGTATATCAACAAGCAGACTGTCAAATTACAGCGGGGAGGGGAGGAAGATCTGGGGGAAATAATAGATCAACCGAAGGACTTTTATACATGCACATAAGTACAACCAATGGACATAAAACTCTGGGGAGGGAGGGGATGTGAGGGAGGGAGGGAGGGAGGAGGGGCAAAAAATAAATAAATAAAAAAATATATATATATTAAAAAAAAAAAAAAAAAGACTGAAGAAAGGACCTCTTTTCCACTATTTCGAATGCTTAATAGCTAATTTCATATCATCACATGTACCATTTAAGAAAGTGATGATTTAGTGGGAAATTAAAGCTTTGCATCTGTATACTGTAAATATAAATGACGATTTGTTTGAAATGTGTAACTTGGATATGCAAAAGATAATAACTCAATGTTAATATTAAATATTCCTTCAAAATAAAAAATAAAAAAAAATCATAAAAAAAAAAAAGATCTTGGCATTTCAATCAAGAGGCAACTCATATGCAGTTCTGAGGAACTTGGCCTTATTCTGTAGTAGTGACAGAGTTTATATAATGATATTGCGTGAGAGAAGGTCAGAAGGCATGGCCAGATCATGAAAGACCTTCACAAGTAAGAAAGCAGTTATCTTTTCAAAGCGTTTCCAAAGTCCTCTTATGAAAGCTGGGTACTTTCTTCTTCTTCTTCTTCTGGGTACTTTCTTCTTCTTCTGGGTACTTTCTTCTTCTTCTTCCTCCTCCTCCTTTCCTTCCTTCCTTCCTTCCTTCCTTCCTTCCTTCCTTCCTTCCTTCCTTCCTTCCTTCCTTCCTCTCTCTCTCTCTCTCTCTCTTTCTTCTTCTTCTTCTTCTTCTTCTTCTTCTTCTTCTTCTTCTTCTTCTTCTTCTTCTTCCTCCTCCTCCTCCTCCTCCTCCTCCTTCTCCTCCTCCTCCTCCTCCTCCTCCTCCCTCCCCTCCTCCTCCTCCTCCTCCTCCTCTTCTTTTGTTTAAGGAAACCTTTGTTTTTGTTTTAAATATATTTTTATTGATTTTAGAGAGGAAAAGAGAAATATCAGTGATGAGAGGGAGTCATTGATTGGCTGCCTCCTGCACATTGGATCAAGCCAGCAACCCAGGCATGTGCCTCTGATGGGAATCGAACCTGGGACCCTTCAGTTCACAGGAGGATGCTCTATCCATTGAGCAAAACTGGTTAGGGCAAAACTCTTGTTTTTAATATATATTTTTATTGACTTCTCAGAAGAAGGGAGAAGGAGAGAGAGAGGAACATCAATGATGAGAAAGAATCATTGATCAGCTGCCTCCTTCACCCCCCAACTGTAGATTGAGCCCACAGCCTGGGCATGTGTCCTGATTGGGAATCAAACTGTGACCTCTTGGTCTATATATTGATGGTTAATCATTGAGCCACACTGGCTAGGCAAAAGCTGAGTACTTTCTACCTTTGTGTTTCAAACAATTTTTTAAATGGATTTTTAAGTAGACATGCTTTTTCCCTTTGACTTACTATAATTGTTTCAATCTTTAAAAAGTTTTGATTGATTTTAAAGAGGGGGAAGGGAGAGGGATGTAGAGATAGAAACATCAATCTGCTGCTTCCTGCACGCCCCCTACTGGATATCGAGCCCACAACCGGGGCATGTGCCTTGACCAGAAATCAGACAGGTGACCTCTTAGTTCATGGCTTGACCCTCAACCACTGAGCCACCCCAGCTCGGTATAATTGTTTTAATCTTTTGGTCAGTTCTAAGTATGGTTTTTGTAGAAATGACCAGATTCAGGTCATGGCATATGCTGAATGTAACTGACCAAATACAAACCCAAAAAGGATGAAGTTTAAGGAACTGACTGCTTTCACTTCTCACTGGATGGTGTCACTTATGGATCTTACACCAGAGCAGTCCCTTTGATCTTTTTGTTTCTAAGCTGCAAGCAAGGATTACTGTCATCTCTGTCCTCTGTTTATAAAAATTACTGTAACATGTCTGGCTCATGGAAAGATGCTGTATGTATTCTGAAAAAAAGTGATTTTGTACTCAGCCTTCTATAGGTTGGATAAGTTGTGTGGAGTTAGTGGACATGGATTGCTTACATCTCAGGAATGGTAGAATAATACTCAAAGGCAGTGGGCTCATGGTCTGATGAGATGTCATCATGTTATTATGGCGCCCAATGTTGGTCATGTTTTTGTACTCTTTTTGGATAAATATGCATTATCCTGTCTGAATTTGGCTATGTATCTTTTAAACCTTGTGATTCAGCTCGCAATAATATTAATATTGTGGCAAGTCTCTTCCACTGTGTCATTTGTAGACACCATCTGGGATTTGCCATCTGGGACATGAGATCTTGGCTGTCCTACAGAAGTCGTGTCTTCAGGTTGGACATGCCATATGTTATCACTGTGTGAACTGAAAGTAGCCATTTGCTGTGATGTAGCTAACATTCTGGTTACATGTACCACCTCCCTTCAGTCACTTTAAAAGGTGATAATCTGCTTTTAACCTGATTCAGTGTTTTTTTTTTTTTCTCTGGTTTTCCTCTTTGGTCTCTTCAGCCTCCTTTGGAAAGTCTGGCAACAGTGGAAGAGACTGTGGTACGAGACAAGGCTGTGGAGTCCCTGAGGCAGATCTCCCAGGAGCATACGCCTCTTGCTCTGGAAGCTCATTTTGTTCCTCTGGTGAAACGCCTAGCGAGTGGGGACTGGTTCACGTCTCGCACATCTGCGTGTGGTTTGTTCAGCGTTTGCTATCCCAGGGCTTCAAATGCCGTCAAAGCAGAAATTAGACAGTAAGATATGGTATTTTTTTTTAATTATTTGGGGTTATTGGGACAATTTACACAGTACCCTCTTAGCACTGAGTGGCTGATATCAGGATAATAATGTCCAGTTGAATACACCAGTGTTTTTCCTTTGTTTCTGCCATGAGTAGAAGCCTAATCACAGTGCTTGTAAAGGAAAACCTCTAAAAATACCTTGCTGTGTTTGTGTCGTTGGTGGGGAGGGAGTATTTAATCAATGGTTATTTGATAGGAAGTATCACCTTCATTATTTTATTTGTTCCAGGCACTTCCGTTCCTTGTGCTCAGATGATACACCAATGGTACGACGTGCTGCTGCTTCCAAATTGGGCGAATTTGCAAAAGTTTTAGAATTAGATAGTGTGAAAAGTGAAATTGTTCCATTGTTTACTAATCTAGCTTCAGATGAACAGGTAAGTTAACTCAGTATTTATGGTACACATATATGCTTCTCTCTAATATTTTAAGAATTTCTTTGGGGAGTTTGGTTCTCATATTAGGATTTTTTCTGCAAAATTAATACTTAATTCTGGCCTTGGTAGTTTAATATGACTCATTTCATTGTCTTTATGTTTCTTAATCAGACCATGATTTTCTCTTACATTGGCAGTTGTTATAAAAGAGGGAAGTCAGAGGAAATGGGATCCATAATTAGGAAGATCAAAGCTGCATTAAGATCAATACCTTTGTGCATTGAAGGCTGGCTTGTCATATGGGAGGGTAACGTTTCCTGGAATTTGTGACTTTCAGATACACAAGCACAGTATGTGTTAGGAAAGCCACTTGTCCCTTTGCATCCTCTCCTTTGCATCCTCTGTGTGAGTGTATAGGGTGATCTCACGTAATAGCAGTTTTAAATCCAAGGATCTAGATTTCTTTAGTGTAGAAATAGCAACGATAATGAAAACAGCAAGCACCTAAATGCAGTACTTCATCTTCCTTGGCCTCTTTAAAGTGGTTTATATAAATTCATTTTTTCACAACCCCATGGGGTAGATCACCCATTTTACATTTTAGGAAACAGAGGCACAGAAAATAGAAGTAACTTGCTCAAGGTTGCCTCGTTAGTAGTGGTGGAGCTGAGATTGGCATCTAAGCAGTTCATGGCCTTCACAGTGAGGCTGCACTGCCTTTCTGTGTGGTGCTCCAGAGGCTCAGACACCAGAGTTTGTGGACTAGAGCGACTCCTTTGGGTTTTTAATTTGCCTGGCATCTGCCCTGGAATCACTTACCATGAACAAGGCCAAGAGCATCAGGCACATGCTGATGCTCTAAATTTAAAGATGATAAATTTTATTTTCGAACAATTTTTTAAAATTATTAAAATAACATTAAAAAAATCAGTACAAAGTATACAGTTTAAGTGAATTATTATAAGTCATCTTGTAGCTGTCATCTAGGAAACACAACAGAATTTTGACAGCCACTACCCCAGAAGCCCTCTGTCACAACACCTCCCAAACACAACACCTCCTTCACTCCCCACTTGTCACTGCCCACCCCTTAACACTAACACTTTGTCCTGACTTTTATGATAGTTAACTACTACCTTCTCTTTGCACTTTTATCACTCAAACATTATAACTTAAAACATTGTCCAACAGATCTGTAATGTAAACTCCCTATTTTAAGCTTTTTATAGCCACATTTTAAAAAGTAAAAAACAGGTGAAAATAATGGTAATGATGTATTTAACTCAATATACCCCAAATAATTATTATCACTAGCCACTTTTCAGGTGTAGAGAGTGGTTACCACATTGAACAGCTCAGATTTAGAATCCTCTTTTGGAATTGTGGTGATTACATTTCCTATAGTATAATTTAACATTTTCTTTGTCCTCTTTATTTCCTGCAAAATGGTAGTTGAATCTTGAGGGTGGGAGGGGGGAACGATAGTTTGCAAACTTTTTCTGTAAAGGACAAGGTAGTAGATACAGGAGTGGGTGAAAGCAGATATACAGTGGCAGTGTGACATTCTTTTGAGTTATTGAAGCTATTGTAATAATGTGTTTTTCTATATTTGCCCATTCCCACCCCTGTAATTTAGGCTTTGTGGGCCAGACAGTCTGTGGTAACTACTCAGCTCTGAAGGAAAATAGGTGATAAACAGATAAATAAGCAAAATATCAGTGATAAATGCTATGATGAAAATATAAAGAAGGATGATACAACTAGAAGTGATTATAGGACATTTCTCTAGACTGGCTATTCAGAGGTGGTGACATAAACCAAGACAAGAAAGAAAAATGCCAGCTATGACCTTTCCTGGAGCTGACACATGTGGATAGTGGTCCTACGCTGGAACCTAGTGGGTGAAAGGGATTCTGGTAAAAGATGAGGTTGCAGAAGATAAGCAGGGGTCTGGTCATGGGCCTTAGGCCAGGATATGTAGAGTTCGGTTTTCTTTACTAGGTGCAATGAGAATGCACCTAGATTTTAAGCAGGTGTGACGATGTGATTGAGGCTTCTGGGTGGAAACTAAATTATAAGGTTTAGTTTACAGTTCTGGGGGGTGGGGAGGGAGAGGCGGGATGAGAATAGAAACAGGAAGACCAGTTAGGAGACTTGTCTAAACTCCAGTCAAGACACTGTTGAACTAGGGAGCTATAGTGAAGATCGAGAGAATCTGGAGGTAGAGTTAGTAGAACTATAATTGGGTTGAGGGAGGGAAGAGGCATCAGGAAGATCTTGATTTTTGGATTGAGCAACTGGGTTGGTGGTGGTGTCACTGTTGAGGTGGAGAAAGTTCTGGGGAGGAGCAGGTTTGGGGAGAAAATCAGTTCTGAAAGAGAAGTGACAAGTATTTATTGATATATTTTTCTATAGATGATAACAGTCCCTTGATTTAGCATCATTTTGGGAATCCAAAAATATCTATAACTGCTACCAAGACCTAGTTCTGCCTTTTTTAGCTTGTTCATTTGGGTAGAGAAGTGTCTTGGGCACATAGTAAGATTTTGTTGATCTGCAATTTAAAAAATTTGTAATATTTTGGGAAGTTGGAGTCACTTTCATGTATATGTGTGTACATATATATACATATATGTATGACATATATGTATTATATAAAATATGTAGTTATATAAAGGGCTTGTCCTGTTTCTCCTGGGCACTTATGTTTACATATTATCAGTTTCTTAGTATTCTCAAATCTGTGGTGTCAGTCCCTAATTTCTTATTGCTTTGTCCAGTTTTATATTTCCACTTGCTCAAAGGACATATAGGTATCACATTGACATTTGGCACTTTACATTTGGAAAGCTCAGTTCATTAATTCCTTATCATTCTAATTTTTTCATTTTGTGTTTTCTCAGACTTGGCTACCTCAAAGTTATTTTGTCCTTGGTTCTCAACATTTAAATCCAATTTTTAAAATTACTCTTTCGTTTTTCTATGTATTTCTTTCCAAGTCATCATCTTATACCTAAATTCCTATTACTGCCACTTCGAACTGAGTACAGGCTGCCCAATCTGAAAGTAGAGCGTTCCTGTGAAACCTTTTGTAAGCCAAAGTGGTAAAGCAAAAAGCAGTTACCTTAGGCATACATCTTGCCAATAATAGGTGCACAAATTAAATAAAAATAAAGCCCAGGCACACAGACACGGCTCACAGCGGCAGCAGCTGGATGCTGAGGTGCTGGGTGTAGCTCCGGAGGAGCTCTGCGGGGCCCTGCTGGAGGCGCGCTGCCGCTGCTGGCTCCGCACAACAAATGCCTGCTGGTTTCGCTTTTCACCTTTTTTGTAAAAGCAGATTTCTTTTAGGTAGGGAAACCTGTGTTAATCTGGGTTTTTCATCAAAGCAAAGTTGCAGAATGAACTTTTGAAAAGCGGGGGTACCTGTATTTTGAAAACAGCTTTCCAGTGACTCTCTTATTATTCTCTTTCTCTGTCCTGATCTGTTATAAACTTGTATAAGCATAGTTTTCATTTTTCCTCTCAACTTATTAGGAGTGAGGCTTTGAAGATATCATTAAGATGTTCTCTTTTTTTCTTACTTTACATTTTTACTTCATTTGAAAAAAAATAGATTTTATTGATTTTTCACAGAGAGGAAGGGAGAGAGATAGAGAGTCAGAAACATCGATGAGAGAGAGTCATCGATCAGCTGCTTCTTGCACACCCCCACTGGGGATATGCCCGCAACCAAGGCACATACCCTTGACCGGAATCGAACCCAGGACCCTTCAGTCCGTAGACTGACGCTCTATCCACTGAGCCAAACCGGTTTCAGCTTTACTTCATTTTTTAAAAGAAAACCTCTGCACTGGCCAATGTAATTATTTTGCTGTTCATTCACAGAATAAGTTTCTACCTTTGTGGCTTTTACATATTATTCTAGGCAGAGAACAGGTATTTTCAGACTCGGAGACATGAAGCTGCCCGTAGTGTAGTTCAGCAGTTGCCAACTTTTCGGACCTTATGGATTACCGCTGGTCCTCACCCCCGGTTGGTAACAGCTGGTGTAGTTGGTTTGCTTCTGTGTATTTTTTTGAAACAACAACAAAAAAAACTCAGAGCACAACCCCACACCATATACCTTGGCTGTCAGTAAATATTGTCTAACAGAAATAAATTTTACTCCTTTAGGATTCAGTGCGCCTCCTAGCTGTGGAAGCTTGTGTCAGTATTGCCCAGTTACTGTCTCAGGATGACCTTGAGGTTTTGGTGATGCCTACACTTCGACAAGCTGCAGAAGATAAGTCCTGGCGAGTTCGCTATATGGTAGCTGACAAATTTTCAGAGGTAAAATTATTGCACTGGTATTTTCTTTAAGTACTAAAGAAAAACACACACACACACCAAGAAACCCACAAGTTTGCTGTGGTACCAAAAGTCTCTGAACCAGAAGTGTTTGTGGCAAAAGTGAATACCTAAAGTTGTGCTGTTTTGTGTTGTTCATATTAATTATTTTGTTAGATTGCAATTAATCCTGTACCTATTATTTTATAGCTCCAGAAAGCTGTGGGTCCCAAAATCACCCAAAATGACCTCATTCCCGCCTTTCAGAACCTACTTAAAGACTGTGAAGCTGAAGTCCGAGCAGCTGCTGCCCACAAAGTGAAAGGTTAGGGAGTTCAGTTTCTGTTGCAGGATGGCTTGTTTATTTTGGTGCATTTTTTATGTCAGTGAATTTTGTTTGATTTTTGTTCTAGAATATGTTTCCAAATAAATAGAGGTGATTTTATTGTATAGAAATGTTACATTATCATATAAGTAAAAACTAAACAGCCATTTTACCTTGTTTCTATTTTTTTAAAAAAAATGGTTTTCACGTTGGATTAGTGCAATACACAGTGCCATCTAGATTGACAAAAATGTGTATTTAGAACGAACTTCTTAGAGATTGTCTGCTTAAACATATGATTTAATTTAACTTGAAACTTGATAAAACTGGCAGAATTTCTTCATTTGGCTCCTTGTAAATGTTTCTATATAAGCATTTTCCCCCTATTTATCTCTTTTAGAACTTTGTGAGAACTTGCCCACTGAAGGTAGAGAGACCATAATTATGAATCAAGTTCTGCCCTATATAAAGGTAAGCCTAACTTCAGCTTACTTTTAGCTTTACTCTGCCTTATGTGAAGGCAAGCAAACCTTACTTTTTTGTTTGTTTGCCTTAAAGCTCTTTTGGGTTTAAAGGCGGACAAGGGATGAATGGAATAGGTATGTTAATGTGTAACATTATTTTTCACTTATTAGTAGTGTGATGTAGTTGAAAATTGCTTGTTGGCACAGAGGTTTGTGTTATCTGACAGTTGATCAGTGAATCTATTGAAATAGTGCTGTCTTTTTAAATTCTTTGGGAAATAGTATGGAAGTTTCTGTTGTCTTGCAAAAAAGAAAGGCTTTTAATTTTTTAATTTTATTTTAGGAATTAGTATCTGATACAAATCAACATGTCAAATCGGCTCTAGCTTCCGTAATTATGGGATTATCTACTATTTTGGGCAAAGACAATACCATTGAACATCTTCTACCTCTTTTTTTAGCTCAGTTAAAGGATGAGGTGAGTCCGGCTATAAATTCTATTGCTTGGTAGACAGTGATTTGATTTGGTTTTGGTTTGAGGTTTTACTAAAATAGAACCCAAAACATGGATAATGTGATTTTAAAAAGTAACTTATTTTAAACTAGTGACAGTCCTTGTGTTTGAGTATGGGTTGCAAGTTCCCCAGAAAATGGGCACTAGGAGCCATTGATATAGACTTAAAAATATCTCCTCATTCCTGCTGAGAGGCTCTGGTTTCTTCTCTTCAAACTTAATAAATCTTTGTTTAAAAAGTTTCTTTTATTTAAATATAATACCAAAATTATACTGGTAGCTAACATTTATTGAATAGAACTATTATATATGCCAGTCATGATCATAAATGTTTTGGGATGTATTATTACATGTAATCCTCACAGCAGTCTTAGAGGTAGGTCTTCTTATCCCCATTTTACAGATGAGGCTGAGACACAGAGATAAAATAGCTCACCCAAGGTCTTGGCAGATATGGGATTTGAATGCATATAATTTGATTTCAGAGCCTATGCTATAAACTTTTCTTTTTCTTATTGATTTCAGAGAGGAAGGGAAAGGGGGTGAAAGAGATAGAAGAATCAGTGATGAACAAGAATCACTGATTGGCTGCCTCCTGCACATACCCTACTGGGGATTGAGCTCGCAACCTGGGCATGTGTTCTTGACTGGAATCGAAACTGGGACCCTTTAGTCTGTAGGCTGACGCTCTATTCACTGAGCCAATCCACCTAAGGCCATCTTATAGACTTTATTAAGAGTTATAGTTAAGAATAGTTACAATTATATGCTATGAGTTATTTGTGTACTCAGTATTTAAATATTTCTTCCAAGACTACTTACTTTACCTGAGTCATTACTTTCTTATTTTAAAACTTTAGTTAGCAGTTTTTACTTCATCATGAATAATAGGAAAATATTGGGCAGAGAACTTGATTTTTATATGTGCTCTTTTGGGGCTTATGTGCTTGCAGTGTCCTGAAGTTCGTTTGAATATCATCTCCAATTTGGATTGTGTAAATGAAGTGATTGGAATCCGTCAGCTCTCTCAGTCTCTTCTTCCTGCTATCGTGGAACTGGCTGAAGATGCCAAGTGGAGGGTCCGTCTGGCCATCATTGAGTATATGCCATTGCTGGCAGGCCAGCTGGTGAGTGTGCGCTTCATGAAGTGAAGGATAGTATCACATATTGAACAGATTTACCATGCCAAGTAGGAGGTCCCAATAATTTGTATGATTATGTTCATTTAGACACATCTAAGTATGGTAGGTCCTAGTTGCTTATATATGGCTTTTATTTTCATTAGTGCATTAACTTCTAATTAAAAGGAATTACAGAGATATATTTTACCTCACCACCATCTAAAAGCCAAACCATAAAAAAATACAATGTTTCTTGGAATGTAACAGATTTTGTGTTATTTAATGTCTCTGTGATTTAAGGAGTATTTAACAGAGGAAAAGGGAGTATTGTTTCAAGATAAGTTAGCTTTGATTTTCACTCAGAGCAGCTTCCCTGTTTGCCTATATACTGAGCAAAATGAACATGGCTACTGCTTTATTTATTTTTTTTTCTGGCTACTTTTTTTTGCATTCTGGTTAAAAGGGAGTTGAGGAATCAGCTGGGTTTTATGGCCACATCCTTTCCTTTCTGTTTTCATAGATGCCTTAGATAGTTCTAAGTGAGATATACCATTACCCTGTTGGTAGCAATTATTACAATGTATTGTGACTGTTAAAAACTAGTTGGGGGAAAAAACTCAAGACCTATCGTGTGCCCTAATTATTAGAGGAGTTACATTAAATATGTTTAATGTTACATTAAATATGAAAGCAAAATTTTTAAATAATAAAAAATACTGCTATTTAATATCCCTGAAGAAAAAAAAAAAAGAATTAGTTGGGGAAATAGACAGATGATCTTTTTTAGGGTAAGGACAGTGTTTAATGTTTGATTGCCAGTGCCTACTAGAGTGCCTGGCATTAATCAGGCTCTTGGTATTTGTTGAGTGTTGGATAAATGAATACCTGAATATTTTTTGAGAAAGCTCAAAATATGTCTGTTTACAGCCAACACTGCTGTACTTTGTTTCTCTTCTCTCACCCCCACTTCCATTCCTTTCAGATCACAGTGTAGGGGATCTATATTTTTACTTTCTTGGACCACGGAACTTATATTGCTAGTTTTGGTATATTTAAATGCATCTTGTGATTATCTGTGGCATCACATGTTTTATAAAATTTGAAGTGTCCCACTCTTCAAATTGGATCTAAAAAATATCACTATATACCTCAAAGGGTCAAGCAAGTCATCTTGTCACTTTTTTTCCCGTCACTCCCAAGCACTGAGGGCCATCCTTTGTGCTTCACTGGTGACTGTCATGGGTCACCTCTCCAGAATGGAAAGCAGCAGTGGCCAACTGGTTAGCTTAAGGCTGAAACAACTGTCCAGAGAGAGGGAGAATTTTAGTACTATTTTTAAAAAATCTCTATTCCTCTTAGATCTGGGAGGTCAGCAAAGGTTGGCAGCTCTACAGAGGAGTATGGAAGCAAGTAGGTGGTGACTTTGGCTGAGTCATACCTTTTGGACAGAGCTGACACACATTGGTCATGAACTATTTGTTAATGCAACTTAAATTTCTTGTTCATATATATTTTATCTTTATTTTTTATCTCTATCAGGTAGTCAATTTGTAAAATACTTTCAAGACATTACATATGGTCTGGCTTATGGACCATGCTGAATAAATGTAAAGTTAAACCATAAAAATTAAGAAATAAAAGTTAAGATTCAAGAGCTTTGGCTAAGTAGCTGGGTTGGAGCATTGTCCTGATACGTCAAGATTGTGGGTTCAATCCCCAGTCAGGGCACATGCAAGGGTCAACCAATGAATACACAGATTGTGCAACAGCAGATTGATGTTTCTCTCTTTCACTCCTCCTTCTTTCTCTTCCTCCCTCCCCATCTTTCGCTTGCCTTTCCTCCTTCCCTCTCTCCTCCCCTTCTACGTTCTAAAATCAATTGAAATTTTTTAAAGAAAAATCCATAATCTGAAATGAAAAAAGTCTTTGAGAGTTGACATGATAATTTAAGTATATGCTAAAACCTATTCATGATCTATTATTATAAAGCATTTTAAGTTATCAAATAACTTTTCAGAGCACTGAAAATTTATGGTACATCTCTTTATTTAAAATATATAATTACTGTTCAGGAACTTCTTAGATCCAAAGAAACATGTAGATCCCAAAAGGGAGACTCTAGGAAAGCACTGTGTCACAACATTCTCCTGCATGGTCCAGATTTCCCACAGTAACAGGGCTGTGTAAGTCAGCTCTAGGAGCTTGTCCCCACCTGTGCTGGAGTGGCCAAATGTTGACAGGAAGAGCTAAACTGGGAGAGTCAGGGTGGTTCCATCTGTGACTCTCTGCTAGGTCACCTGCAGTGTTACGCCTGCTTTATTCTCCCTCTGCTTCTTCCCATCAACCTAGAAATATTCTATTTAAGTGGAAATATCTATTTCTTGATAGCAGTTTCTTCATCCTTAATGATTTATTATAATCTTAACCAAAAAGGGAAAATTTTTGAGAATTACTAATATTACTAGAGGTCCGGTGCATGAAAACTCATGCACTGGAAGGGGGGTCCCTCAGCCTGGCTTGTCCTCTCTCATAGTCTGGGATCCTTCGCGGCAGGAGGCGACCCAGCGATCAGGAGGAGGTGATGTCCCATCACACCTCCGCTGCTGCCACTGCCAGCAGTGCAAGCCGTGGCCAGCGCTGGTTACCTGAGCCTTGGGTGGCCCTGGGCTGATGGGCTGAGGGGACTGGGGGACTTAAGGCAGGCGCGTGGAAGTACAGTAAAGGAAATATAGTCAGTAATACTGTAATGACTGTGGTGCTAGTGGGTACTGGAAATATCAGGGGAACACTTCGTAAAGCATATGATTATCTAACCACTATGTTGTTCACCTAAAATTAATACAAGTTTATATAGAATGAATGTAAACTAATTGAAAAAAATTTTAATTAAAATATAAAGAAAAATATATATTATTGACAGATATTTTATTGGGTAATTCCTTTTTACAAATAATCTAGATAATGCTTAGCAGACTGTCCATATTGCTTTCTTTCTACTCATTTGTAGTATTGTATCTGGCTCCTGACCCTCCCATTCTCTTCCACTTAGCAGGATCTGGGCCATCTCACTTATGCTTTCTTTGTTTTTTATTTCTATCCAATAAAATAGATTTACAGTTTGTAAATCAAATTCCATGATAATTGTTTTCTGGTTGGCTCATGCATTCAGCTTATTTGGAAACAAGTGGTTTTTAGCTTTTAGTTCATTTTGTTGTTATAAATAGATTATCTTGATTTCTAAACTTTGTTAGATGTGTATTAATGGAATCTTCCGTACCCACAGGGTGTGGAATTCTTTGATGAAAAGCTTAATTCTTTATGTATGGCCTGGCTTGTGGACCATGGTAAGTAAATAAGTTAAAAACAGGTTGTTATGGAGTGTTCATGTCTTTGCATATATCACATTTTTATATATTTCTTTTTTAGAAAGGACTACTAATCTGATTGCCTTCCTAGTGTAGTGATGAAGAAATACTGTGATTAAAGTCCAGTTAGCTTCCTCTGAAACACAAATTTGATGTTTCTGTTTTCTACTATTTTTTTCTGTTTTAAACTTATTTTTCCATGAATAATCTCTTTGCTCTGTTTCTTACTCACTCAGTTACATTATTTTCAAACTCTTACACACATATATACTCACTTTTTTTTTTTTAATCCTTACTTGATAACTTCCCATTGGTTTTTTTTTTTTTAAGTGGCTCCAACACCCATGGTCAGGGAGTCAGAGATTTTAAATTATTTTATTATTTGTTTGATTTTCACCATCATTTTTAAATCCTTATCCATGGATATTTTTCCATTGATTTTTAAAGAGAGTGGAAGAGAGAGGGAAAGACAGAAATATCATTATGAGAGAAACATCGATAGGTTGCCTTTCACCCTGGAGCCTGCAACTGAGGTATGTACCCTTGACTGGAATCGAATTGGGACCATTCAGTCCGCAGTCCGACGCTGTATCCACTGAGCCAAACCGGCTAGGGCTACATATACTCCTTTCTTAACTTGAGGTCTTCTGCTTGACCATGCTGTCTGGGTTGGACAGAGATTGGAATCAGATGAAAGTCCTCTGGGGAAGAAATGGCTGTGTGGCTTGTTTGAGTGACACAGAAAAGGAGCTGTACAGTGGCACAGTAAAGCATTAGTCCAGGAGAGTGAGATGGCAGCTGTCCCTGAAGACAGAGGGCCCAGATTTCTGGTGTTGGTGAAAGACAACTTTACTGTCTGCATGCTGGGCTGTGGCTGCCACCATACCAAGAGAGGGTGAGCCAAGGGCAAGGTCAGATGGGATAGCATTTAGCAAATAGGTTTTCAGCACTTCTCTTTGCATTTATAACAATTCACAGAATCCTTTTCTTTGAAGCTATATCACAAATGAAAACTGGTACAGCTGCTTATCAAAATATATGATACTGTTGATGTTATATATTAAAACTTTTTTTTTATGTCAGTTTGTTAGCAGTTGACTTTTTGACAGTCTCAGGTTCACGTGTCTACTCTTGTCTGCCAGGAAGTGGTGGGTGGGAAGGGTGCCCTCTGTACCAGTAAGGTCCAGTGCCAGGCATCTTCAGTATAGTCTGAGACCTGTTCAGACGGGGGCCACGGGGGAGGTCATGACATCATCCTATGAGCTTCACTTCCATGTTTTGGTGCATATAGTAGGCATTGTGTTCCACAGCATCTTATGCATACTTTATGGCCTGCGTGTATCTTTGTTCTTTGGTGCTTGTGCCTGGGTATTTGGGAGGATAGGAATATTTGTGTCTGCTTGTACATGTAGGTGGTTTTGTTAAGGGCATATTTAGATCATATGGGAGGTCATATGGCTAAGAGTGTGAAGAGGAGGGTTATGAAAAATACGCAAGTCTCATAAAGGCTTATATATGGAGGTAATTTCAGTGTTCTCAAACTAGATTTTGAGGGCTTTTAATTTTTCTTATCTTTTAAACTTCCCTTTCTGTGGCCTAATATTTTTTCTTTTTAAATGAATTTTAATATGGTAAGTCACAGGAAAGAAATTTCTCTTTTTAGAATAAAAGTGTTTATGCTATTTCTGAATGATATTTAACATTAGTGAGACTGACATGTCCCAGAAGATTCTGTACTTAATACTCCTTCCTTTAAAAAAAAATATTTTTATTGATTTCAGAGAGGAAGAGAGGGAAGGAAGGAAGGAGGGAGGAAGAGAGAGAGAGAAAGAGAGAGAGAGAGGGAGGGAGGGAGGGAGGGAGGGAGGGAGAGAGAGAGAGAGAGAGAGAGAGAGAGAGAGAGAGAGAGAGAGAGAGAGAAATATTAGTCCTACCGGAGAGAGAGAGAGAGAGAGAGAGAGAGAGAGAGAGAGAGAGAGAGGGGAGAGAGAGAGAGAGAGAGAGAGAGAGGGAGAGAGGGAAATATTAGTCCTACCGGATTTGGCTCAGTGGATAGAGGGTTAGCCTGCAGATTGAAGGGTCCCAGGTTCGATTCTGGTAGGGGGCATGTACCTTGGTGGGGGGTATATGTACCTTGGTCATGGGCACATTCCCAGTAGGGGATATGCAGGAGGCAGCTGATTGATATTTCTCTCTCATCAATGTTTCTAACTCTATTCCTCTCCCTTCCTCTCTGTAAAAAAAAAAAAAAATCAATAAAATATATTTTTTAAAAAGAGAGAACATCGATCAATTGCCTCCTTTATGTGCCCCAAATAGGGATCGAACCCACAACTTGGTTATGTGCTCTGACCAGGAATCTAAGCCGCCACCTTTTGGTGCTTGGGACTATACTCCAACCAACTGAGTTACCTGGCCTGGGCTTGTAGGGAATTATTAAGTGTTAAAGCAGGTACATTTATTCACAGGAGATATTTAAGATTTCTCAACATAAACATAAGGGGAAAGGGGCATGAAGGTCTAAGTTTTTATTTGCTGTTGTGTAGATGACCACAGCGGCCTCTAAACTACCTTCTTGCTGTCTTTCTCTCTTTAGCTTTCTTGCCCCTAGTGGAGTAATCTTGCTAAAGTACCACACTAGTCACCAGGTGACAACTTTGCTTTAAAAACCCATCTTTTTTCTTTTTTATAACATCTAAATGTACCTTTCAAGATGTTTTGTGTTTTTGGTCTTCAGCCTCATTTTGCCCAGATTTCAATTATCTCCTTTGTGTCCTGGTAATTTTTTATTTATTTATTTATTTATTTTTTACCATTTCCAGGAATTGCCATCTCTTCTCTTTACTTACACAAATCCTCTCTAATTTTTGAGGCCCGGTACATAGCCGTTTTAGACCTTCCTGTTCTCTCTTTTCAACTGCTACAGCTCTCATGGTTTTTACTACACAATTTCACACTTTATAATCAGTCTTATCCTATGTGACTACTTGGAGTATGGTAGCTTTTGTTTTTCTAAGTGTATGATCTTGAGGAGAGGTATATGTATTTTTCCTGTAACACATAGTATATATAGGCACTGACATTTGTTAATGAATTAGTGATGCCTGTTATGAGCTCCCACCTCCTTTTTCCTTGGACATATCACACATTTTGAAGCTGTGATAAAACCAAATCAGTGTATTTGTGAGTAGTAGCTGAGCACATGCCACTGCAGCATGGCTGACCTTGGAGTGTGTGTGCGCAGAATCTCGCTTTTGGCTCACCTTCCTGATGATGTAAGGAAACTAGGTTGTGCTGCCCTGTGAACAGCATTTGTTTTTCCCTCCTGCAGTATATGCCATTCGCGAAGCTGCCACCAACAACCTCATGAAACTAGTTCAGAAGTTTGGTACAGAGTGGGCCCAGAATACCATCGTTCCCAAAGTGTTAGTAATGGCAAACGATCCTAATTATTTGCATAGAATGACCACCTTATTCTGCATTAATGTAAGTATTACACAGCTATTATTGCTAAGCTCATTTGTTAAAGCAGTTATTCCACATAGTGTTCCTGAATTCTGAATATATAGTCTTCTATTTGGAATGTATTTCTGTGGATAATTAAGAGTTGAGAGAAAAAAAGGTCAGCTTTCAATTCATGTTAAAATCTGTAGGAGTGAAGTCAGTTGTGAATTCTGCTCTAATTCTGGGTTTTTTGAATTCTACTTTATATCCCTCATTTAGTGTTCACTAGAAACATTTTCCTGTTGGTCAGTTAGTATTTAACTAAGTATTAATTTTTCTCCTTAGGTTTGGGGATAGTTTACAAATAAAAGTGTTTTCTAGGTACTGTCTGAAGCCTGTGGTCAGGAAATAACCACTAAGCAGATGCTGCCCATCGTATTGAAAATGGCAGGAGACCAAGTGGCGAATGTCCGTTTCAATGTGGCCAAATCTCTACAGAAAATTGGACCAATTCTAGACACTGAGTAAGATTTTATTATTATTCTTATTTTAAAAGTAGATTAAAATTTTTACATGATAGTGGGGAGTAATGGCTAAAAATAAATTTGGTGATTTTCACTTTACCTAAGGTGTGGATTTGTTTAAAGAAAATAATAAAATAACCATTTTTGTGGGCATCCACTCTTTTATATTAAACTCATATATGTGGAGATCACTGTCTAAAGCTATTTCTGCTGAGAACTTTATTTTAATTTCTTTATTGATTAAGGTATCACATATTTGTCCTCATCCCCCCATTCCCAACCCCTATCCCTCCCCATGCATGCCTCCACCCCTCTGTTGTCCTTGATCACTGTTTAGGGTCATATGTGTGCACACAAGTCCTTTGGTTGATCTCTCCCTTTATCCCTCTCCTCCCCTGTCCTCCCTCTGAGGTCCAACAGTCTGATCCATGCCTCCTTGTCTCTGGGTCTGTTCTTGTTCATCAGACTATGTTGTTCATCATTTCCCCTAGATGAGTGAGATCATGTGCTACTAGAAATATACTTACATGAACCGAAAATGAGACAAGCAATAATGGTTATGCTGAAAGGCAAATGAATCAGTCTGTAGTGAGTTTCTTTCTGGGCCAACAGTTCTTTTGAGACCCAATTTCAATGTCAAACAGTTCCTTATGTGTACATGTCAGCAATGACATTTCAGTTCTGGATGGTGGACAAATGGTGGTAATGCAGGTCCAACCCTCTCTGGTTTGGTCCTGAGTAACCATAGCGATGCACAGCTGCTGTCTGCTAGTATGGCAAGGCGAAGTCAGCGTCTTCCACCTCTGGACTGCTTCTCTCTGTCTTCATGGCTGGAGTAGTCCTGTCAATTCCTCTCTCTTGCCAGAATCCACAAGGTCTCAGAGTTTTTTTCTGAAAATATACATATTCTCGACCAAAACTTAATAAATTAATATTTTCTATAAATTTTACTTGGGATCCTTTTTCATTTTTTGTCCAAATGATTTTCCTCTCGCTTGTTTTGACACCATGTGTGTTTTTCATGGGTGTCTTGCTGTTAGTAATATAATTAATTTTCTAAAGTACAAATTTTCTAGATGTAATTTACTTACAGGATATTTTTCTTTACACGATACTCTTTTACTATTTTTTTTTTTAATTTAAATATTAGGAGGCTTTTGAAAAAATTTTTAAATGTAGTCTTGATAGCTTTTAAATTTTAATTTTTTGCACTACTGCTTTAGATAACTTTAGATACAATTTAGTACTTGTCAAACTTATAGGTATTTTAAAATATTTTTGTATTTTAAACTTTAAAAATTGCCTTTGAGCCCTAGCTGCTTTGGCTCAGTGGATAGAGCATCAGTCTATAAACCAAAGGGTCCCGGGTTTGATTCCAGTCAAGGAAATGTACTTCCGTTGCAGGGTCCTCCCTGACCCAGGCCTTGGTTGAGGCACATGCAGGAAGCAACCAATTGATGCGTTTCTCTCACATCAATGTTTCTTTTTGTCTTTCCCTCTCTAAAAATCAATAGAAAAAATATCCTTGGGTGAGGATTTAAAAAATAAAAAAATTGCCTTCGAGCATTTATACCATAAAACATTTTTTCTGACCTAGAAGACTGCCTTTCACAGACAATACTGTTGGATTTCAGTGCTTTGCAGGAGGAAGTTAAACCGGTGCTGCAGAAGTTAGGCCAAGATGAAGATATGGATGTCAAATACTTCGCACAGGAAGCTATAAGTGGTATGTCCTTCTGTTGTCTGCCTCGCAGCTTTTGCTTTGGTTGACAGGGTGTAAGTGACGTTAAGTGGGCAAGGCGATAAGCATGTGGGAGATGGGAGGGTGTTGAGTGCCTGGAATGCTTATTCCCTTCGTGGATATAAAGGCCGTTCCTCAGTCCCATCTGGGGGTGGGTAGGAATGTGGTTTTCACTAGTAAGAATAGTTTGTTTGGATTTTAGTAAATTTTTAAAGTTTAACTTTAATTAGCCTGACAGAGTAGAGAAACTGACCACTGTGAGAAGTTCACAGTCTGCTATTGGGTCACTGTGTTCGTGCTCAGAAGTCACATAGGCAGTTCATGAACTTTCTGTGCCACTAACTTGATTCTGTTTGGAATTTTCTAGTGCTTGCGTTGGCATGATGAGGAACAGGAGGGAAAGGACTTTACTAAATTCTTAACACAGATTTCTAGTCAGTGTGTTCTTAAACGGGTGGAGAAAAAAAACGGAAAACCTTCAAGACCTCATCCAAGCAAATGGCAACGGCTTCCAAGAAATCAAATTTCAGTGACTTGATTCTTTCTAAAGATGAAAAGGGATTGTTTGTAAAACAATCTTTTGTCTTCCTTGTTGGGATAATTATACACCATTCTTTTTGTTTGTGACCAGTTCCTGACACTCGGTACACTCGTTTCTTGATTGTCTCCAGGGATTTATTGGGCTCCAACACCCTCGCCGTCCCATAAGGCCCGGCCACTCACCATCTGACCAGGGCTGGCTGGGTTCGAACCCAGACATGCAATGGAGTGATTCTCTTGGCGTCTACTTATATCCGCGTGTCTGTCCAGCATTCCAAAGTTAAATGTACATGGTTTAGAATAACATGTTATAAACCCTCTGTTTGGGAGACACATCTAGATTTAACTAGTGAAAGCCACATTTTCCTGGATAATGATGGTCCACATCAGTGTCTTACACGAAAGGGAAATGTGGAAGCTCAGAGTTCGTGTGGTGTTTGTTCTGGTTTTTCCTTGCCTTATTTTGACTGTAATCATGTCACTCAGAAACCTGATGTGCAGATAGATGTGTTGCTGCTAATGTGTGATGTTAAAACTTACCTGAATTTCCACAGCTTATACCACTGTGTTCAAAATACTTCTCTCTCTCCTGCTGAGAAACTTAAAGTTTAGTGCCTCCAAATAAGCAGTAGTTCTACCGTGTCATTGTAAGATTGCAGTTTTGAAATGTTAATGGGAAAAGGAATGACTGGTATAATACTGGGAGGACTTCCTGCACTTAACCTCATTCTGCTTCCAGCTAGAACTAACATCTGGTCCTTGCTATGGCTTTCCAAATTAAATTTCATTACTACTTTTTTGGTATGGATGATGCTGGAATCATCATTTGAAAACTTTGTTTTTCTGCTTTTAAAGTAAAACCTCATTAAATTTTCCTAGAACTTAAGGTAACTAGTTAAGCTAAAAGAAGGGTTTCCTGGAGCAAATTAATAGTTTGTAAGGTAGTCTATTGGATCTGAACTAAAACTATTTTGAAGCTCTCTCTAAAAAATACCCTTTTAGTATACTAATTACTAATCACTTTTCAATTACATTAAAATACTTTTCATGAGGATTTTTATGAACCCCCACTTTTTTTTAATATATTTAATTTAGTCTTTATCCCTGAAATATATATGTTTGTATTTCATGGAGAATTTAAGTATATTCCATATAAATTTATTTACATTGTCACCTATTCAGACTCGCCTTGTCCTTGATGAATGCTAATGAGGTTTTATTGTAGTTTATTTTTCTCAGTGCATCTTGCTAGGTAGTTTGCTTGTTCGATTTTGGTTTTGGAATTATTTCTTTTATTCACAACCTCTTCTAAACTCAGTGCATCCTATTTTGAGTTTTGAAAACCAAATTTGAGCGAATTACTTTCAAGTTTGTCTTATCGTAGAAAAACAGAACATTTTGAATCAGAAATTGCCTGCATTTAAAATTGTCAAATTACCTTATAGTAACTTTCTATTTTATTACTTTTTGGGCTAAGAATTAAATATTTTTCCTAAGCAAAAATCTTTTATACAGTCTCTTTTTATATCTTAAACTATTATGTTGTGAACATTTTAATTTTAGTTTCATGGTTCTTTTTGTTATTATTACCTAGAGGCTGTTATCTTCATTCTTGAAACAAATTTGTACAACTGTTGTTTTATTCTCTGGTTGGGAATACTGGTTGGTTGGAAATGTCCTTGGTTTGGGATAGACTTTTAAATGCCCTGTGTGCCCCCGGGGAGTCTGTGCAGTGACCTTCCCTAGGCTATAGCAAAGGGGAGCCCTTGGCCTTTTCAGACATGGGTCAAGGAGCTCACAGGGCCTGGCCTTTTAGATACCTTCTCAGGGGCTTCATTGTATCTTTCTGACTTAATTGGTAGGTAATCCCTTTTGTTATTGCTCAAAGTCGTCGTTTTTTTTGCTAACTTGGTCATTTTCTCCACAGGTTATCTTGCTTTCACTATGATGTAAGCTCCAGGAGCTCAGTAAGGGCAGGGATATTTTGTCTGCTGTATCACCAGCACCCCGATCAGTATCTGTCTACATAGTAGGTACTCAATAAAGATGTGTTCAGTGAATTTTTAAAATCTGTCCTCTGATGTGTTGTATTTGTGGAACAAGTCATCACAGGTACCAGACTGCATCTCATTCTCCCATTGGCAAACGAAAGGGCCTTACAGCTCTTAAAGGAGCTAGCTTTCTGTGGCCCTTCTCCAGCCCCGCCTTAGGCAGCAGTTCCATTTGGACGGGTGCAGTCGTCTCCAACATAGATCACTGTAATTTTTCATGCCAGGCAGTTCATATCAGTTGTTTGGTCCATTAGAAAAGGGTAGTAGAGACAAACATACAAACCTACATAGATAAAAATATCTCTTCAAACAATGGAATTCACTACAGTGTTTCTCCCATTGGTGTGCGGTTCACTCCTCACAGATTGGAGAGACCAGACCTTCCTTCTCTGTGCTGCCGAGTGCGCGTGAACCTGAAGATGTGTGGTGGTCATGAGAATAAGCTGGTTCATGTGTGGGTTCTGACAAGGCCTTGCTGACATAGCCCTCAGCTCATGGAACTACCCCAGCTTGACCACTCTGATGCATGGCCTTGGGGTCTTTGCTGGACAACTTGTCCTGATTCAAAGTAGGCAGCACTCTCACCTGCGCTGTCAGGCCTTGCGGATAGAGCACAGACCTCCAGGGGAAGAGAATGTCCCTGGACCCCGCCGTTGGCTGTGGGAATGCTCTCCAGGCATTTGTGGCCGCGATGTGCTTTTCTGTGGAAGCCCCAGAGGGCAGGCCCAGTGGCCACAACAAGTTGGGTGCTTGTCCTACTCGTTGCCTTTGACTTCAGTTCCTCTGACCTCTTCATTTTGAAGCTCCTGGCTTACAGCCTCCTGTTGGCTGCTTGGGTGTGACACAAGCAAGAGGAACTATCTTAGCAGGTCTAGTGACTGGTCTGCTCTTAAGTAATCGTTTCCTCGGGTTCTCCTCTTTCCAGCCAGTTCCTTGCGCCTCTCTCCTGTTCACTCACGAGTCTCCAGTCTTTTTTTTTTTTGTACCAAAATAGCCCCTCTCTCCTCCCATGAGCCTGCTGTGTCCAGGAAATGACACTGTTCAGCTGAGGGAAATGTGGAGGATGGGGTTGGTTCCTCATTGGGTAGGAAAGCCAAGCCACGTCTTTCTGCAGAGCTTTTGACCGGCGCTGTCCGTCCTGAGTGGAGCCAGCGCTTGTCTGGTTGGGCCCTGGAGGCCGGCAGTACGGAGCGGGGGTGTGTGTGTGTGTGTGTGTGTGTGTGTGTGTGTCCCGGCTACCATGAGGCGGGGCGGCTCTTGGTGCCTCTGGAAGAAAAGCACCTTCATGAGGTCCTGGGTCAGCCCACCTCCTCCGCACAGGCCATGTGCCCCCCACTGCCACCCCAGAGCCTCCGTGGGTCTCCGTCTGGGAAGCACTGGGCATAAGCGGGACTCGCCTGCCCGGGGACAGTTTCCGTGCTGCTGTCTGTCTCTGGTGGTGGCCACGGGCTGAGGAAACCAGATTTCCCCGTGCAGGAGTGACAAGGATTTCCTGAGACCTGAGGGCCTGGAGAGGACACCAGGAAGGTAAGCGCACAGACTAAAACCTCCCAGGGGCTTACTGATAGGTGTGGGTGGAGGGCAGCAGGGGAGAACTCCGTCCCGGAGGAGAGCAACGTTTTTTGGGGCAAGAGTAGGTATACTATTGTTTGTATGGAAAATACCATCTATAATAATAAAAGGGTAATATGCAAATTGACAGGATAGCAGAACAACCACGCTATGACACGCACTGGCACCAAGCCAGCCAAGGTGGGTGCCATGTGATTGGTTGGGGGGCTTCCCACTGTCACCCCACGATTGCCCCCCAGGGGAAGGCTCAAGCCACCAGGCTGGCGGTGCTTCGGCAGGTGGGCGGCTTCCCTCTGGGGCGATTGAACACCCCTCCCCTCCCCCCGCAGTCCATCACCTCACAGAGGGAGGCTCAGGCCACTGGCCAGCGCTGCTGTGGCGGGTGTGCGGAGCTGGCTAGCGATCACCCTGCAGAGGGAAGCCCAAGCGATTGCACCCCATGCCTGCCATCTACAGAGGAGGCGACCAATGGGGGGGGTGTGACTGAGCCCCACACAGATGGCAAGCAGTGGCAGAGGCGGGGGCGGGGCCAGCTGCTGCCAGCTAAGGGAAGGAAGGCCCTAATAGGCCTGTTTGCCGGCCAGGGTTCGGGACCCTACCCAAGGGGTCCCGGACTGCAAGTGGGTACAGGATGGGCTGAGGGACAACCCCCACCACTACCACCACCAGCACAAATTCTGTGCACTGGGCCTCTAGTAATAATACAAGAATAAACTGTTTCATGTACTCACGACTGTAAGCCTACTTTTGCCTCCCCTGTGTTTTAAGCCTGCTGCCCTGTTTCTTGTCCTTGCTTCTGGGCGTGCTTTCTGAGGGATGGCGTGGACTCGGCTCGCTCCGGTGGCTTCCCTCCCCACCTGGTCAGCACAAGCGAGGCCCGTGCAGAGGCCCGAGGGGTGGTTTGGTCGAGTTGCTTATGGAGATGGCTACTCCCACTTACCTCACAGAACTATTTGCTGCGGTTCCTCTGGGGCAGTAATGTCCACTCAAGGAAAACACCATCCTGTCCATCTCCTGTGTGACAGGGGATGTGGGACAAGCCCATGTGATGACCCAGAGGAGTGAGTGTTCAGCAGTCAACGTCGGTGCGGCCACTGCCCTGGCTGCTGGTTAGGAGAGCAGGTAAGACAGGCAGGTTCGGAGCGGCCCTCGGTAAGCCAGGCTGCGCTAGCTGACGGGGAAGATGACGGGCATCTCACAGTCCAGGCGGCTTGCTCGGTG